GCCTCTCCTCATATGCCCTTTTGTGCCTCTGGGCTGTTACGTAACTCACTGTAACACTACGGTACATCTGTAGTACAAGTGCATGCACGTGTTGCTTTTAAAGACCAGAACAAAAAAAGACTCAGACTCAGAACAGTGCTTCTCCAGACTTTCGCACCAACTACCACCTATGAAAATACTATTAATTACGACTACTTGCGAGTACGACCAGGACCAAAACACGGCTCCTACAGCTGGGACAGTAGTTCTAACCAAAGACTAAGTTAAAGAAATGTGAAAATATGTATACAATTGACGACTAAACTAGAGAGGAATCAGAATGTAGTAAAACTGTATATTTTACTACAGTTTCTGAAACTTAGGCTATGTTCAAACTGCAGCCTGACCCATTTCTGATTTTTTCGCCCCTATGCGACTGTATCTGATCTTTTAATGAGTCTGAACACCACAGATCCATTTTTTTTTTTTTACAAATGTGACTCAGGCCACTTGGATATGTGCTCTTAAACCGATACATATCCGATCTTTTGACATGCGACTTCAGTCTGAACGCCCAGGTCACATTCATCCAACCTACACTCATGTCAGGCTCGGAGCTGAATCAATGGAGGGAAAGAGAGGTTAGTAAGTTAATTAATATTTGGGGGGATCGCTGTATTCAGGTCAAATTGGAGGGGTCTTACTGGAACTGGGCGTTTTTTTGAAATGATTGCCAAAGAAATGGCCGAATGTGGTTTCAGGCAGTCCTGGCTCCAATCTCCATGAAAAATAAAGAGCCTGGGAGCCAAATACAAGGAAGCTAAAGTCTCAAACAAATGAAGCGACCTTGGCTGTGTAACCTGTCCATTTTACGAAGAGCTGGACGGTATTTTTGGAGACAAGCCCAGAGTTTAGACTACTTCCATAAACGGTGAACAGGTGAACACGCTCGCTGTGTGTGATGTCGTCGTGTCCTCCAATGTGCATGCAGGACTCTTCGGAGGCATTCAAAGTTTACACTGGAGATCACACACAAGTCGCATTTAATTGGAAATGTGAACGACCTCGCAAAAAAATCTAATTTCACAAAAAAAATCCAAATTCAGCATTAAACCCTGCAGTCTGAACATAGCCTTAGAGGACACAACTATAACTGTAAGATACTCAAAGCAGGTAGAAGTAGGCAATACAACAATAATATACTGCAGTTGAAATATTCTGCAACTACAATTACTCTTCCAAACCATTTTTAGAACTTTCTGGAGGAGGGTACGGCACCTGCTTGTTTCCATGGAGGTTTTATTGCTTAAATTGAATGCAGAAATTCATTTTTTCTTGCACTGGTTGTATTTTGTGTTTTTGTTTTTTTATGTCTGAAAAACTCGATTGATAGACATGCCTTTTCCCAGATCTGCCTTGTCACTTAACCTGGTGGCATCCTCTACTCTTTCCCATAATTTGAATGCAATATTTTGGAACATTCTAGGAAAATAAAATCTCTCCATCAGAAAAAAATAAAACACATACTGCATTTTTAACAGGCTAGGTAACAACACTGAAATCCCGGAGTAATCAAAGGAGTTGATGAGTCATAAAAAGAGGAAAACACTGGTGTCTTTTGCAGAGTAAATATTCCTCTGTGGAGATAAGACAAAACCACGCAGACAGATACAAATGACTAAGATAAAGACATTGTGCTGTGAAGTATTTCAAAGTCAACAGATGAGTAAGAATGTGCCCCGTCTGCCCACACACAGAAGAGGTGAGTAATAGAGGACTTTGCACTCACAGAGAGCTCAATCAGCACTCCACAAACACCGACTTTAGTACACAAATGTGAGCTTTTGAGCATTTCACATCTGATCACGCTATATGGTGCCTGCAGTGTTTTTCAAAATTCTGTATGGGCCAAGATTACAGGTTTGAAACTGCTGCATGGCAAACTCGAAAACATATTCACTCGAAAACATATTTTACACATGTACGCCTGCATTTTCTGCACCCGGGAAAGTAAAACGCTAACCACTCTGCTACAGTGACACAAAATATGATATAAAAATGCTCTGTTCAACCTTGTGATGTCACGTAGTAAGTAGGGCTGCTAGATTATGGACAAAATCATTGTCACGATTATTTTGGTCAATATTGAAGTCAGGATTATTCAAAAACATTTTTATTTATTTTTTACTTGCACGATGCATTTAAACAGCATTTCTCTCTCAAAAAAACACTTTGTTATTGATAATTTATGCAAAACTTTCAAATTGAAAATAAGTGTAGCCTACAAATATGTACCTTACAGCAGTTTTGTGATGAATAAAAATGAATAAAATATACTTTGAACATGAAATAAGACATAGAAAAACATAAATGTGTCCAAAATAAACTAGATTTCCAGCTGTTCTACAATAAAATAGATATACTTTTTATATAAAAAAAAAAAATCCCAAAATAAACTTCAAGCTTTTTTAATCATTTCAAATCGATTATGAGTTTGGAGATTGTTTGACACACAAATGAAAATCACAATCAAAATTCTATAAATTGCACAGCCTTATCATGTAGTCATATTTTTCAAGTTAAAATCTACCTTTCCACTATTCCAGGACTGAAATGATCAAAATGATTCTACTGAAAGTGTATGGAGTTTAAAAGGCCCATCTCATGCAAAATAACTCTTTTCACATTGTATCTTATGCACAGGCTTTAGTTTGTTGTCATGTGGGAGGGTGGCAGAAATACACTGCAATTTGTTAAAAAAAAAAACGCCAAATCTATCTAAAAACCACTTCGGCTACAAATACAAGGCCCACACATCATTCTTAGAAGGTAGAAAGCTCTGAAAAGTTGATTTTGCATGAGATGGGCCCTTTAAAAACACAGTGGAGTGCCTTCTGAGTAGAGAGTGTTTTCTGTTTTCTGTGTTTCCTGAGTGTTTTCTGAGAGAAGAACCCAGCCAAAATATGCAGGGTATGCGTGTTCCTTCATACCAGTTTAGTCTTGAGACAGTTCGACCAGATTACTATGTACGAAATATTGCATTCTAACATTTTCAATCATATGCTCAATATTTCCTCTCACTTTTTGACGAATGGCTCATATGAGAAGATCAGAAAAGCCAAATAAACAGAGAACTTCCAGAGGATCAGCTGCGTGCCTCCTGTGCACCAAGCGCTAGTGAAATGTTATACCACACTGACATTCAGAGCAAACACCGAGAAGAAACTGCCAGGAATAATAAATGCAATTTGGTGTTAAAACGGAGACCCCCAACGCAAATATGCATAGGCTACTCTGTGATGACAAGCCGACGATATTCAGGGCAACACCTGGTCAGCGCCGGGCGAGGGACTACACAAATGTTTGGTGGTTTCTGTAATAATTTCCTGTTGGAGAGAGGGAGGAATAACAGTGGAAGAGGAGTAGAGCATTGTGGGTAATCCGGGAGAGATCGGGGAGCGGTTTGGGAATGGGGGACTCTAGGTGAAGACATTCAGACTTGGATCTATAGCTGCAGTTTTCATCATGTTCACCGAAGCCAGGAAAACATGTTATTTGTCACAGTCTCTTGGGGTGAGTGTGCTTCAGTGCAGGATTATAAATGTAAAACGAATAGGTTAAATTAAAGGTATTTCACAACATTATGAAGATCGATATTTTGCTGTGACATCAGTCTGGGGGTGTTCTACATGTATTTCTATGATGGAATGTTTCTGCAGTTACCGCAGTGACACAAGGTACACATTAGCAAACACAAGGAAAAAGTCTGAAAACTCAAGATAAAAGCCTAAATGGATTTAAACAGCACATTTTCAGGAGCCTGTGATCAAAACGGGCGTTCACAGTTCAGTTTAGGTGTTTTATTTTCGACAAAAAAGTTGAGCATGAGAAACTGACTCGTGACTCTAATGATATTTGCGAAGGAATTGTTCAAAAGTACAGATCAGCTCACCTGCTAAAGTTCCAGCTAAGTCAGTTCTTTCCATGGAGCTTATTATTTATACTTTCAAAAATCTGGGATTTTGTCATGATTTTTACCAAATTTTACATCATAAACTTTTTCTCAGCTCAAAATCCTTAAAAACGCTTTATAATCGTTATCTCCGGATACGCACTGCTCTGCTCTAGCTCTTATCGCTTTAATTTGTCAACGCAATCACATGATACATGAGACTGCGCTCCATGAATGCCTTTGCCTGCATTCATGTGTGCCTGTGGGAGAAAAGAGCACTTCTGCGCAAGCTCAGTCGGCCCACAGCCACCGGAAGTACCTAGTCGGGCTAAAGGCGAATCTGGAATCATGCGCCATTGAACTTGGCCCATTAACTTCAATGGGCGGCCATTCTGAAACCCCAGGTTTTGGTTCTTTCCATAGACCGTATATATGAGTGGACATAGCTAACGCGCTTGCTGCTGCGTGCCAAATAGGAAGTTCACGAGGAGGAGGCTCTTCCAGCTCCTTCTGACCCTTGCTCCAGTTGACTTTCGTTGGGATCTTGTCGTCCCTCTCTCTGTAACTGCTGCGATGAGCCTCGTCATTTTGGTCTTAAAATGTTCGTATTAACCCGCAACACATGATCCTAAATTATTTTTTTCGCTATTTTCTCCAGAGTCGCTCCTGTAACCGTTAGCATCACGAGCCTCATTTGAGTGGCGCTGAATGCTACGGGTGACGTCACACTTTGTCCATTTCTTTTATACAGTCTATGTTTTTTTTCTGGTCAGACTGTGTTAGAACAAAGCTAACAGAGTAACATAGCTTCAGACAGAACAGTGCCTACAGTTTGCATCTTAGCCCCTGGAAATATTGATGAACTCAGCTGCAAAGTACCGATAGTTGACAACTGAGGTGGAGCGCAGGTCTGAATTATGTGGCAAAAAAACAAAAAACAAAACAAAAAAAAAAAAAAACGCCTGAAATACTCCATTGTTTTGAACAGTGGTTTGGTCAGTGCCTCTAACTTCTTTGTGGTACCTGCTCACTTTGTAGATATAAAATATATTGTGGATAAGAACTGTACCATTTTGTACTCCTTCCATGTCTTCTGAAAGTCCACGCTGCCGTTCTCTCTGCGTTGAATGACCGTCCAGCCTCCTCCAGCTGATTCCATGTTACAGTAGACCTGAAGAGGAAAAAAAAGATAGGTCAAATGATTAGGGATGTAACGATATCCAAGTCTCACGGTACGATATTATCACGATATGCATCTCACTGTATGATATTTATTGTGATATTTTGAAGAGGCTGATATACTTGTAGATGGGACAAGTTCTTGCTTTTAAAATACCTTGAGAAGATTTTGGTGTGAATTTGTTCCGTCATAATCCAAAGAATTCAAGTCAAAAACATATTTCTTCAAGTTGTCTGCACTGAAATGAATCATGGGATATGTAGTTTCCAATGTTCATCAGCTGTTGCTACTACAAAACCATGAATTTAAGCAAAGGAACTTGTAATTTGATATATTGTGACACCCACGATATTATTGTGAGACTTTTGACGATACGATATCACGATATTTGGGGTTTTTGTTACATCCCTACAAATGACTAAATATGTTTGCTGTGTTTTTGTCTGTTAGGGTCATTGTTTTATAAGTTTCTTCATTTAAAACGGTCTCAAAATGGACAGTTACAATGCAGCACCTTTGTAATTCTATAGAAATGGTGACATTGTTTCTCCATTGATCCAAAGGTTGGGGGTTCGAATCTTGTTCTCAACATAAATATCATTGGCAGAGCGGTCAGACTGACAGGTTTTCGGTGCAATTTCAGCTCCCACAGAGGAATGATGTCATTGTGTCCTCGGTCAAGACTTACCCCACCATGACCCCATTGTCTGCATATAAATCTGTATGAGTTTGAAAAAGCATTATATAAAAATGTGACCTTTTACCAAAAGTTCCACTGATAATATTTTGCCAGTAAAATGTGTCAAAAATATGTAATATTGCATGATTTGTGTCTATTATTGTGCAACCTTTCCTGGACTTTCACTTTCTTCAGCATTAGCAAACAGTGAGGGGTCATTAGGACAATTATTTTCTTTTGGCTGTTCCTTTATGTTTTTTTTCCAGAATGAATCATCTGAAAGAATGTGGTGAGTCAATGTCCTCCTCAAACTTGATCAGTGTCTGCTCCGTCTGCTCCCGTTGGCCATATTGGAACCCCATCAAACACAGCAAACACAATGCGGACATCAATCTTTCTGTGGTGTTATTTTTCAAATACATTCCTTGGTGTATTACTAATGACTATGTATTATTATGCTATTATGTCATGATATGGCTAAAAACAATAGCTGCTAGCATTGAATTTGATCAGCTGTATAGTGCATAGAGCATGAAGCCAGTTGGAGCCCTAAAAGTATTACACTGAGACTTATGAAGGTTTGTCAAGTTTAAAAACACATTGAAGCATTTTTAAATGACCACTTAATGATTTCATACCGCAAGCCTAATTAGATAAGAAGGACACAACTCAATTATTTTAATCAGGAATCAAACAAAACATAACTAAGGCTACGTTCAGACTGCAGGGCTTAATGCTCAATTCGGATTTTTTTGTGAAATCCGATGTTTTTGCGAGGTCGTTCACATTTCCAATTAAATGCGACTTGTATGTGACTCCAGTGTGAACATTGAATGGCCCAAAAGTGTCCCACATGTGCACTGGAGGACATGACGTCAGCTGCGTGCTCTGTGTTTACGGAAGTTGTCCAAACATGGACAACTGGTGATTTTAAAGTTCCTCTCGTACCGGAGCCAGAACATGAACAACTTACTTGTTTTAAAGAGGAAATTGAGAAGGAGAAGGACGAGGTTTTTGGTCGTGGTGTTTTGTGGGGCAGCGGCAACGACGTCCGTTGAAAAGAACGTGTGGATGTGGAGACGTAGCCAAGAGTGGTGAGTGGCGATGTGCTTCACTTCAGTGACACGGAGTTCATTAACAATTTTCACCTACTTCAGCGCAGAATAGTGACGTTTGTGGCTTGTTGATAATGTGTAGGTCGGATGAATGCACTTTGGCCGTTCACACTGAAGTCACATGTCAAAAGATCAGATATGTATCGGTTTCAGGACCACATATCCAAGTGGCCTGGGTCACATTTGAAAAAATCGGATCTGTGTCGTTCAGACTGTCATTAAAAGATCAGATACACGTCACATAGGGGCCAAAAAATCGGATTTGGGTCACTTCAGGCTGCAGTCTGAACGTAGCCTATGTTGGAGTGCTTGTTTTCTAATCCGAATTTAAGTGGTTTGAATCCTACTTTTGACATAAAACGCTGTTCGATAGAACGCTCACTGGACCACAGGTTGATAGTTCAATTCCAGCTCCCACAGATGATTGCTGTTGTTCTTGGGCAAGACACTTGTGAAGACACTCTGAATGTTTGTGAATGGGTAAGTGATTCATTGATGTAAACGTGCACTGAGTTTCTTGAAAATGGAAGCGCTTTATATTAAATGAATTGTATAACTTTTCTGGTGGAGGGTCCAACAAAGGCTTTTCTTCATGGAGATGTTATTGCTTTGTGTGGAATGTTTCACAGTATGACTTTAAACCTTCCAACCCTCATGGAGACCAAACCAGACTAAGTTACAACTCACAGACAGAATGCTTGTTTTTCAGGCAGAGCAGTGACATGTCCAAAGGAACAAGCAAGTGATGAACCCCCCACCCAAAAAGTTACAAATTGTACGTTTATTTCAAAGGCAAACCATAGAACCAGGTAGAACCACAAACAGCAAGAACATATTCTAATACTAAATATGTGAACAGATGATACTGGTACATCAAAGTACATCAGCAGTACCATATCTCCTGCCTCTTTGTGTAAGCCGATCACTTATATGTCCATTTGTAGACGTTGTTTCCCAGAGCAGAGGCGCAGGGTCTCTCACCTCAGACACAGCTGCACACAAGGCCTTCTGTTTGTGATTAGAGCCGTGCCCCTCACTCTCACACTCACTCTGAACCGGTCATTATGAAGACACAGAGATCTCCAGCTGCTGCAGAGCAAAGGAACCACTCATGTTTTGACACGCTAGAACGAACTAATGTATAAAGTGGCACTAATGTGAAAATACTACAGCTGAAGTTCAAAGTCTCAAAATAATCAGGGACTTCAGCCTCCACTTCATTAAAGATGCACTGTGTAACTTTTCTAAAGGAGGGTACACCAACTATTTTTATATAGATGACGTGTCAAGATGTTCCACAATATGACATTTAAATTATTTGTCTTGAATTATTGAATTACAGATGTTTTATTGCTAACAAGATGCGTTCTTTCTGTGGGCGGATTTGCCTTGCCACAGATCTGACTTGAAAATTATTCTTTGTTTAATTGTGTGTGTTTCAGGGTTCCCACTCTTTCACTGACAAAATTTCAAAACATTTCCATGACTTTTTCATGACCAAAAGTGAATTTTCCATGACTTTACGGCACCTGCATGTGTAGAATTGATCAGACTTTTAGAGCTAAATATGAAATGTTAACCCTTTCCACTCACCTTATGGTTTGGTATTCAAGTTTTTTAACATTCAAAATACTGTCAGTGCATTTATTGTCCTTTCTTTTAAAAAAAAAGGCGCATATGTTTGGAAATAATCATAACAGCCTAATGAGAACTTAACAAAACGCTGTAGTTGCATGAAAGAGATACCAAAATGCCATGACTTTTCCAAAAATGTAATTGAATTTACAGAATTCCATGACTTTTCCAGGCCTGGAAAATTACATTTTCAATTTCTATGACTGTTCCAGGATTTCCATGACCGTGAGAACCCAGGTATTTGTCAAATTTTGTCATCTCAGTAAACATATACTATAAGTAATTCTTTCACGATTGTGAAGGTCATAGTTTCTCTACCAATTAGAACGATCTGGATTTGTTTGTAAATTATAAATGGTAAATGGTCACATTTTTATATAGCACATTTTTATATTTCCACCTCAAAGCGTTTTACATCAAGGGACCACTCACTCATCCACACACACATCCATACACCAGTGTACACAGACACTGAGGGTGAGATAGGTTAAGTGTCTTCCCCAATGACACAACAATAGCTTTCATCTGAGGGAGCTGGAATCACACCACCAACCTGTGCATCAGTGAGTCTGACCACTCAACCAGTAATGTTTATGACGAGAGCGGGATTTGAACCACCAACCTTGGGATCTTTGGATAAACACTAACTGAACTACTGAGCACTAACATACAGCAAATGTTATAATACAGTTTTGATCCAATCCAATTCAATACAACTTTATTTGTATAGCACGTTTTACCAACACAAAGTTCACACACACAAAAGACCACACAATTCTCATACTGGGTTAAAATCCAGTGAGTAAAAGTATGTCTTTAAACGAGACTTAAAAGGATCAACTGAAGGGTCTTAACGTGAGGGGGGAGAGTGTTCCAAAGTCTGGGGCTGACCGCAGATTAAGGTATAAATTTCCATGTATTATTTTAAAACTAAAGTAAGGGTAGGATAGTCCAAGACACAATAGATACAGTAGATTAGTTGAAATGGTGTAGCTGGTGCATGCCTCTCACCTTCTTGGTTTCCTGAGGCGTGGGCTGGATGGTGTAGACTCCATTTTTGCGCACTCCGTTCTGGTACAGATCTGCACAGTCCCGAAACTTCTTCTCCTCTTCTACTGTTTTTGTGCTGTTTGGTACAACTGAGGGGAAAACACATGACAGACAACACATGTGGTTATAAAAGACATAATATAACGGTAATTGGATCTCATTAATTATGTAACATCTTAGAAATGTGGGGCTTTCATGTTGTTGAGCTTGAGATTGACCTAAATCTGTTATATTACTTGATATAAACCAAGTCAAAACAAGACAATGGCTCATTTCCTTTGGAAACAATAACGTCTAATCCAAACCAGAGCTAACCAAAGTTTAAAACTGTTCTTCACCAAAACAAGACCATAAACTTCCACAGAGAGAGAAAAAAAAGTAGTAAACTCAATAAGAAGAAGATGCTTGAATTAAAATTTGTGATTTCTGAGTGAATTATGATTTGAGCAGATGTTGACAATAGAATCAGGTGCAATGTGTATGCTTTTCTATCTTTTTATTCTGTCTATTTTAAAGGTCCTGTAAGACACAAAATTCAGTCTTGTGAGCTTCACGACTTGTTATAATGTTGTTACCTCATCAAAAACACACCTGAAGCTAGAGTTGTGTTTGAGTAACCCTTTATTTTTAGTTTATTAGTCTCTCTGCAAAGCTCAAAATGATCTGTTCAACAATGTGACGTTAAAAATAACAGCTACCTTTTACCTTTTGTTCAGCAGAGATTGACAGTTCCAGGGGTGAAATCATTCAAATGATTCTAGTGAAGGTGTATGGAGTTTCAAAACACAGTGGAGCACTTCCTGTATTACCACATGACATCACACGGTGGATGGTGTGTTTTCTGTTTGATAGAAGAACTCACACCTCCGGGTATGTTTGTGATGAGGAAACAACATTATAGCATAGATCAGAAAATAGTATGTGTCCTTTCAGTGGAATAATAGAATAGATAAGTCAAAATGTACTAGTTAAATAAACTTCAAGCCATTGTCGCATATTTACGATGTTATTTTTGCAGTTAGTTATCATAGTTTGAGGGCCACTACACTTGAAAATGACTGGTACTTGAGTCTGGAGTTGAGAAGACTCAGATGAGATGCAGTGGCAGTGGCCGATCGGAGCAGCCAGATCAAATAAAGAGAAGCAGATTTCGTCAAAGCAGCTGTGGATGATTATGACGCAGTATTTTGAAACGGATAAAGAACTGAGGACAAAGCATTACCAGCTCCAAATGTGGGGGTCCTCTTATAACAAGTATTTTATATTTAGACTTAGACTCCGACTTTGACCAACTTTATTGATCCACAAGGGAAATTATTTGGACGCAGTAGGTCAAACGTCACAATTTAATATAAAAGGAATTAGCAAAAAAAAATCATTGTAATTTAAAAAAAATGATTATTATTATTTTGCAGCGCAGACATAAAACATAGACTAAAGCCCCATGGATCATGAACAAAAGGGTTTGAGCTGAAGTAAAAAGTACTTATAATGCCTGACTAGAGGGGTGTAACAGTACACAAAAATCAGGGTTTGGTACATATGTCAGGTTTGAGATCACAGTTCAGTTAATTTTCAGTACAGTATGGGAATAAAATGCAAAACCATTTGCTTGTTGTTTATTTCTGTGTTTATTAAAACAACAATTAGTTTTAACATTTTACAAACAGAAAAATAAAATAAATACAAAGTGCTGCTTGATAATACTATTAATTTAAATTAAATATTCTCAAATAAGCAACAAATGTATGAAACATTATAAAAAAAAAAAAATATTCCTGGTAAAGTTCCTTGTAGTTCTGTGAGGATTCACATGGTTTGGAGGGATGTGGTCAAGGCGGGGGGCACTTGTTACAGTGGCCGCCCTAACTATAAAGCGCTGCGGGAAACACTGCCATCCCAGTTACGGACGAGATATCTCATGAATATTAAAGAGCCGAGCCTTCCGTGTAGCTGCACATGTAGTGGCAGAATGTAAACACACACAAAATGCGCAAACTCACCTGTGCACAGCCCTGCACCGAACTGAACGTCCCGTACCAAAATGGTTCAGCACAAATACATGTACCATTCCACCCCTAATAATTCAATAACCAATTCCACCCCTAATAATACCACCCCTAATAACCCAATTCCAACCTTATTAAACAATGACAGAATTCAAATAAAGAAAGCAATGTGTGAACAGCAATGACTTACTGTATATAAATTAAAATTAACAAAATTTAATGCATAATTCATTCGTTCCAGAGCTCTATATCTTTCAAAACATAATGCTTTATACTTTTTTTTTTTTTTAATCAACACTCAGGTCGTTCCATATTCTAACCCCTCTAACAGAAATACAATCACTTTTTTTTCTGAGTTCTTATCTTCACTTTTTTAAAGATGCTAGTTTGTTTTTGTTTTGTTTATGGTCATGGGCACAGAAGTTTATAATTTATGAACGTACAAAATAATTCTAAATAAGTAGCAAAATAGCAAGAGACTGGTGTCAAATAAGTAGGGATGTAACGATATCCAAATCTCTCGGTGTGATATTATCACGATATGCAGCTCACGGTACGATATTTATTGCGATATTTTGGAGAGACTAATATAATTGTAGATAAGACACTTTTTTGCTTTTAAAATACCTTGACAAAATTTTGGTGTGAATTATTTCCATCATAATCCCAAGAATTCAAGTCAAAAACATACTTTTTCATGTTGTCTGCACTGAAATGAATCATGGGACACGTAGTTCCCTATGTTTATACGCTGTTGCTACTATAAAACAATGCATTTAAGCAAAGGAACTTGGGATTTGATATACTGTGACAGCCCACGATATTATTGTGGGACTTTTGACGATACGATATCACGATATTTTGGTTATTGTTACATCCCTATAAAACAAGGCATAATTATATAAATGTACAGAAAATATACAAGTAAAAATAAAATGTAGAAATATAGTAAACATCGCAAAGATGAACTGATGACTGACAGGACAGAGGGTTATCTTTTACAAAAGAATGAGTACTGTTGTTGGGAGTATCATCTGTCACATAAAGGTGAGTTGTTGTATAGTTGTAGGGAGTATTACTTGTCACATAAAGGTGAGTTGTTGTACAGCTGTATGAAGTATGGTATGAATGGAGTCCTGTATCTCTCACTGTTTGAGCGGAGCTGTAGGAGCCTGAGAATGAGCTCCTCTGTCCCTCTATCTATTTATCACTATTGTTCTTGTTTTATTGACATAAAGTCCTTCCGATGTGTGCTTTTTTTCTGTATTTGACCCTGCACATAGCTTCCTCCATGTGGGTTTTATCTCTCCTCAGACCATTTGCTTTCATTGTTGAACACAGCGGACTTCAGAGGGGCTAGCGGAAGCCGGTGGATTATTTGGGTGCATTGACTGACCATTTTGACAAAGTATAATGTGTCCGTGACAAGCAGCTCCTGCCGGGACAGGTTGACGGAGAGGGCCCTCGCGCTCCAAAGTCTAAGACAACAAAGACTAAAGCTGTCGGGAGGTCATTTTACCCAGTTTTCTGACAGCGGGAGGCGTTCGGGGGGTCAGGGGGATTCAGAGAGGGAGGGGGGCTGTGTGGTTTGAGTCTGAAAAGAAGCCAGCTGTTCAAGGGCTGGAAATGCACACAAGAAGGCAATATTCTTCTTAACTGTGAATAATTGATTTGAGTTTGCAGCTGATGATGTCAACATTCTGTGAGGGTGTGAAGCTAACTGTAAGCACTGCTCTGTTTTAAGCTCAGTTAGACTTCTAGTCTTTTTTTGTTTTGTTTTTAACACAATCTAAACAGATGAGTTGACTTTGTTTGAACTACAACAGATGAGATGATTTGTGCTGTTAAATAAATCTCTCACACAGTAAATAACAATCAGTTTTTCAGTTAGTCACTCTCACCTTTTTGTTGAAAATCAAACTCCTGAACAGGACCATGAGTGCTCTTATTGATCACAGGCTCCTGAAAAAGTGTTGTCTAAATCCATTTTGTATTTTTTCTTGCACTTTAAGATGATCCTTAAATGTTTTTGACAGTTTGGTAATGTGTGCATTGTGTCACCATGGTAACAATGATGAACATTCTGCCATTCACATACATGTAAAACACCCCTAGTGTGATATCACTGCAAAGTATCACTATATTCATTACAATAAGTAGTATTTACATTTGCAGGGCATCAATGTATTTCTTACCAGTTCGCATGTTTAGTTCAGTATACATGCAGCAAACTTATAATCTACGTGACTATGTAGATATAGTGGAAAAGTTATGATCTATTCTATAAAATTCCACAGAAATTTGTTCTGTGTCACTGTCCGATGTCATTCCTCTGCATTTGACCAATACAACTGCAGTGACATCAGCTCACCTGTTGTAGTTCCAGCTAACTCAGATTGTGGGAGCCTAAACCCAGTTTCATCATTTTTACCTGGTCTCCGAAGGGTTGACCAGGTTTTGTATTCACCTTGTGTGTCTGTGTGTGTGTGTGTGTGTCTGTCCACCCGGGATAATTCCGCCATTTATGGACCAATTGTCACCAAATCGTAACCGATGCCTCAAAAAAAAAGTTTGGTGACAATTCGAGGTCATTTGAGGTCACGCGGGTCAATTGAAAGGTCACACCATTATAAAGGATCAGCAATTTCGGCAATTTCTGAACTATCTTTGGCCTAAAATATTCACCCAATCATCACATAAGTTGGCACACACGTAACTGGGGTATAGGGTGGGCTCCTCATAAGATGCTTCTGTGGTGATGAACTGACCCCACCGATGTCTCATGGGGGACCAGGTTGCTATCTCTGGTTGCACTTGTTTTCATTACTGAGATAATTATTCTTATTTTGTTTGATTTAATATTTACTTAAAATGCATGATTTTTGGTCATTTTAATTCTTTAAGGTTGATTATTTCCTTAAAAATAACTTGATCTATTTACATTTTCTTTCAGTTTATTATTGCTAATATTAATTATGAGTGTACTTAAGTAATGTTTATTTTTTGTATTATTTTGTGGTCTATGGCACCGGGCGCTGTTGGGGGTAAGTCAGCGTGGATGCACGACACTGCTGACGGGG